AGCACTTGTGATCCTTCGAAGGAAAAAAACAATACTAAGACAGGGATAGATTGTGGGTCATAAGGAAACTTTCATTTTACCATTATTGATGGGTTGCAAATAGCACCCAACGAACAGGTAAAGAGACAATCAGTTTGACTGCTATTTTTTATTCCTTTTTTATTCAAGTCTACTGACAAACGGCACCATTTGGTGGGTGTCTAATGCATAAAACGTAATGCTTATGCTTCTTCCTCCAACAGGAAACAACATAATTACTCAATTGTGCCTTTCATTCAAGTGTGAAAAACAGCAATTTAAGCCCAATTGTCAAATAGAACCCAAAACAAAGATTAATTTATATATTCAAGATTAAATAAAGATGAATTAATAAGATTTTTTTTTTTTGCATACGTATGACGCCCTTATATATTCTTCTTCTTTAATAATATGTTTGACTTATTTTGTAAACAGCAGAAATAAAATAATTATTCCTTTAAAAATTGTGCAAAACAATATTGGTTGATTTACAGTAATATCAATGTACCATCATGCTGTCTAGGTAGGCAGCTAACGTTAGGCTTTGAGACACAGCCAAAATCTCTGCTTTGACGGTTTGATCCACATCTGTATTCAGCTAAAAATACAATCGCAAAGGAACTCAGTAACAACTTAACAACGCTCAACAAACGTGTGACTTTCACGGCACCAGAATGTAAAAAAAAACATAACGTTACTTTTCCATTGTGTCTTTATTTCTCATTACGCGAGCTACTAACGTTACTGGGACTGAGGCAATCAGCATACTTTTTATTTTGCCAAGTAAAACAGGCAATTTAAACAAACGCCAACAGTAAGACACGTTTGTGAGATAACGTTACAGGAGAAAACTTTTCTTTTTCGTCAAACTTACCATGTGCCGCAACTCGTCTGTCGGAGAGCTTTTACTTTTCCAGGCCAGCATCGGAAAAGACTTCAGTTTTAGGGATTGTCATATCCTGTGCTTTTTGTCGTGGGGCGATTGAGCACGTCTGCGGTATCGTCTTGGTTGTGACTTCGTCGATCTATCGGTTACAGACTGGCCACAGAAGATGAAGCGATAAAACGCCACCGCAAGCAACACAGTGTCGTCTAGAGTTTCACTCACTGAAGAAGATAATCCGCGCCCACCAGCGTCTAGACGCGGCGAGCGTCAACAGCGCCCTCTAGCGGCTAACATATAACACTACAGACCATTTAAATTCATGCTGGGGGGGATTTGAATTCTGACCTTTTGCTAAGTGCATCCGAATATGTAAATGTTTTTATTTTTAAATAAAAATAAAAAAACAATAGCTTTAATACTGTCGCTGTACTGAAGTCAACATTTTTTTCTGAAAAATATTTCGTTTATAATAAAGGAAAGGCATGCCTAAGGACAAGTCTAGAGTGAGAAATAACTATGTGTGTAACCATAACAAATATTCTTGTTTTGACTGTTTGAACAGCCCTGTAGGGCCTTTACAGATGCACATTCACAAAGAAAGATAGTCACTTTTTTTTATTTATGCACCATGTTCTTGTAGTATTTGTGTATTTACAACATTTTGAAAAATCTATAGTAAAAATAGCCTAATAATAAAAGAAAGTTTTGACGTGTGTCAGTGGGTTCTACTCTGAAAATAAAGATTTCCAGTTCAAATCAATTTTATTTATATAGTGTGTTTCACATTTTTTCACTGTTAAAAATGAAGGCTGCAAACAACAGAATAAATATAATCATGATTAATCTTGTATTTTCTCATCAGTCTTTAGAAACGGGAATAAAACAGTAATAATATAAAATGTAATAAACATAAAAA